GGATTATGCAAAGCTACATACTTCCTCAAGGTGAAGTGGAAAAACACATTATACCTGTATGGGTTTGGATACCAAATTATTTTACGACCAATGGCCAGATTTATATTATTAATTTATGTAAGGACACCTGGGGCTGATCAAGTTATTATTGTATTAATCCAATTTAAAATAATGACAAGAAGTACAAGTTATTAACTCCACATAACTCATTTAACAATAACAGACTGGGCTCTGGTTTCAGACAGAGGGTGAAAAGAGGTGCTGCAGCACAGGCAGTATGAGAAAAATAAAGAGCTTTTTGAACATTAAAGAATGGAGTCATGTCACAGGAGAGACACACAATACAAATATGGACCTGAAAAGGAGAACAATAGGGCTCTGTTAATCACACATTTAAAGCAATTCATAAAAAAGGTGGCAAGAGATTTATGATGTGAAATTCCAGCTGTTGTTCTAATAAACCTGTGATGGCAGCCATACTTATGTGATCATCTAGTGGGTGGTATTTACATACACACTTTTACAGGTCTACTCCGGTGTTCATTTATCATTCTGGCCATATGTTCATCTTGTGAATCACAAATATCAGTGTGATTAACTTTTCAAAATGTCAGAGGGTACAACTCTGTAAGACAATTATGCTAATTAATTATAAAGTAAAATTACAGAGTTAAAGAGCGGCTCGGCATAATCGAGATCCTGTTATACATGATGCATAAAATGATTAATTATAACTGAAGAACTCATTTTAATATGTGACTGTTAAATCTACTTGATCTTTGATACGTTCTCCAAAACACTACGATACATAAATATTAGAGATGTCCCGATCCGATTCAAAAGATCGGAATCGGGAGACAAAAATCGTGGATCGGGATTTTTTTTTTTTTTTATAAAATATTTTTATAATTTTATTTAATGTTACAAAACAAAAATGACCATGTTCATGTCTTAAAGTCATCCTGAGGCCTTAGTTTTGGTTTAAAATGACACAACATCATGTATGTGTTGCTTCTTTTGGGCTTGTTTTCATAGACCTGGTTGCTTATTTCTCTCAAATCTGGCAACAGAGTGGGCAGGGCGCAGTGTCTAATAGTAGCAGTAAGCTAACGAGAGGCTACGTTCAGCTGGTGACTCGGGAGTCTGGACGGAGAAAATGTCAGGAGTTTGGAAGTATTATAAAATTGAAAGCGAAGGCAGTGTAACAGGCAGATGCTATGTTTGCAAGGCGGAGGTTCCGCGTGGTGGAAAGAACAGAGCTACGTTCAACACGACCAATCTAATACGCCACCTGAGAAACAAACACCAACAACAACACGACGAGTACACAGCGGCCACTCAGGTAACGGCACTGAAACAACCGACACTTTTATAGGAAAGAGAAACTGCCCCAGAACAGTGAAAAGGTCAAAAAAAGAACAGCCAAGATAGCTGAATTCATCGCGTTGGATGACCAGCCGTTATCTGTTACCTTTTTTTCTCTTAATGCATTGCATAAAGATCGGATCGGGAAAAAATCGGTATCGGCAGATTGTCAAAATCAAATGATCGGAATCGGATCGGGAGCAAAAAAAGGTGATCGGGACATCCCTACTAAATATGTTTTAAGGAATCATTAACCAAGGTTCATAGCTCTTCAGGAATCTTTCTAATTTTAAAAGCTACTCAAAATAACGTAATTAAATATGAAGAAAACATCTGTAGGCCTCTTCTGTATCAATGCTTCACCTTTGTTGAGTGACTCATAAGCAGCGCAGGGATTCAGTAGTTACATTTGAATTAAGGGATTTAAATAATGGTAAAAGGTTGCGTTAAACATTGCTTATTTGTGAATGTGACAGTGAGTTGGTAAATGTGAGCATGTTGTGCAGATTCAACCCTCTCTGTCAGTCTCCCGTTGCCTGCACAGTGTGTCTGTGGGGACACAGGGCATCAGTAAGGTGCTAATTAGATGCTGCAGTGGAGCATGGGACAGGACGAGTGGACACTCACCATGGTGAAAGATAATTTCACACTCTCTGACCCGATAACTGTCTAACGGCTGCTGGAAAAACAACTGGCAGAGTGGCCCTGCTCAGTAATCTCTGTAAACCGAGCAAAAAGGAAGAAAAACGTATACTGTACAGGCAGGAAAGCAAGCGTGTGAGGATTTACCAGTGGCAATCATTCATCTCATCAGGAACCTGATCATCACACTCCCCTGTGTTACCCTTTAATTTATCAGCTTTGTGAAGTTATTCAATCATCTGATAAGTGGTTCTTACAGAATACACTGGCTCATTTTTTTTCCTAGACAGCACAGTATCAGAAATAAATATATGAAGAAAAATTACAGATAAGCAAACGTCAAAATGTGTTTCTTTTATTTATTGTCTTTGCTCTAAGTTTGTTTTGTATTATGGTCTCTTTATTTATCCATTAGCCGAGGCTGTGAGGTCTGCATGGGGACAGAAAAAGAGCAACTAATGGTGACAGTAATGAAAAAGACAGAGACAGGAAAACATGTCTTTGGTTCCATTTGGACAATGCTGTAACTGTCGTGTGCCTTGTTTGAGTGATAGGTACTTGTGGTTGTTTGGCCCTTTGGCAATTTCCCAAATCACACCTCCTACTGCTTCACTTGCCTCGGCCCTCAATAGTCTTGCTCAAAATAAACGTTGATGCACCCACACACACACACAAACCAGCAATGGCTAAATGTTCCTCCTCCCTCGCTTGTGTTATGGTGCACTGCAGATGTTAGTGATTAGCCTTCTAATGATTATAACCAGAATCTGTTGTTCAGCTTCTCATCTGACTCGCTCTGTATCCCTCCATGTGTGTTTCATTTTCCGTCAGACACCCTCACACATTAGGCAGGTCCATCTAGCGATCCTGTGATGTTGTTGCTAGGTCACATTATGTATTGGAGTCCTTCCGGCCATGGGGTTCAGCTCGAATTAGCCTCGTTCCCTACCAGAGGATGGGCTACTTGCACATGTTGCCAGGCAATTAAGAGCTTGGCTTACTTTGGGGCTGACAGCATTTTCACATGTGTTACAGTACGAGTGAATGTGAAAGCATTTTGAAGGCAAAATGGGGCTTTTGCTGCCCTCCGATCATCTCTCCTTCTTCCGTGGCTACCCAGTGCTCACTGGTAATTTAAAAACAAAAAGGGCAAAGAAAAACAAATGTGCCCTTAGAAGTAATGTTCAAATCAAGTTTTATTTATATAGCACATTTAAAAGCGATTTTTGGTCAGACTGTAGCTGTTATGAGATCCATTCCTCAGATGACGGCACAGACAAAGTGTTTTCCTCAACAAATTCTTCTTAATGTTGACATCTCAGCCACAATGTGTCAGACAACCAAAGCCGAAGAGACTCTTTAAATGATTGCAGGAGCATTGCGAGTCAGCAGCCCTTGAGGGTTGATCACACACACTACAGGGCTGGGAGTGATGCTGGTCCAGGCACATAGTGGACGACGGGCAAATTCACAGATCTGGAGGCTCATATGCAGTGGTGTGTGGGAGTGAGCCGTTAGCAAGATGTAACCTAAACAACACTGGCTGGTTGTACCTAAGGATATGTGTTTTGACAGCATTTGGAATAGGAATTACTTTAAAGTAACTTGTCTGAATCTTTAAGTTTTGTAGTTTTTAACTTACGATATGTTTTTGTGGCCCGAGAAACAACATAATGAGAGCTGCAGTCAGAGGTGAAGAAGGCAAGAAACAATCAATTTCAGGGCAGAAAAACACAGATTTACAACCTGTTGTTTTTCACTAAAATATATATATGAATATGTTTATTTCACAAACAACTCCTTGATAGGGCACAGATACTAACTTGTAGACACATTAACCAACGGCCAAAAGTGTAATTTGCTGCCAAATGGAGCAGCAGCATGTATTAATAACTAAAAGGTAGGGTAGGTAAGAATGGAGAAACCAGCTTGAGTAAGCTAGAAAAAAAATCTGGTGAATCTGCCCCTTCCTTCAGACTTCCTTACAGAGCCCCTCCTCCAACACACACACAAACGCGCACATGACCAATGAGGGCACGAGATAAGTTTGTGCACGAGATGGAAGGCTGACAGGCAGGTAGGCCATCCAATCATCTGCCTGCTGACTTTTTACAGCGCCACGGCTTCCACAGATGAAATATTTGTATATACTTATTGTCAAAGCATTTATTCATTCATTGCTATCGGGATGTTAAGAGCATTCCATGGAATATAACAAAAAGTGTTTCTGAAGTGAATTACCTTCCCTACCTTTAAGTAAGTGGTGGTTAATATTGACCCAAAAGGAGAAGCCACACAATGGCTTCTCATTGATTAGATAACAGAAAATATTGCATTTACGGATGAAAATAATCTCGTGTATCTAGAGTTTAGAGGCACACAATAGTACACTTTCAGGAGAGGACAAGGAATTGTGAAGAAGAACTACGTACAGTATTACATTTAATAAATTACCTCTGGCAGTAATTGGCCTCCTTACATAGTTTAGTATTCCAATCACAAAGCACTACAGTATGTGTTACCACATCATCTATCCTTTAGCCTGCTTCATTGCACATTGTTCATGCATACAATCATTCCCTTGTCACATGGGTCTTTTGTGGAAACATGTAAGCTTTTCTTGTCCTCCTAACACTGATTAGCAGCATTTCAAAGGCTGTCTGTGTACGAGAATGTCACAGTGCAGACTTGACATGTCTCATATGCTTTACTTGCCATTTTGATTACCTTGTTATTTTTCTCCACCCACACACTTGTACGTCACCTCGCATGACTGGCAGACCCCATGCCTGCTCCCTGGGGCTCTGAGGCCCCTTCTATTAGAAATGTATTCTATCAGTGCTTTTAATGTAAAAACGCAATAAAGTCATTTCACGCCATGTTGAGCAACATTGCCACATTATTGTTAGGTCTCTGTGGCTTTCCACGGTGTGACCAGACCCTCATCCACACACATATACACAAACTCCTCTGTGACAGGTAGAGAAATAGAAATGAACAGCTCAGTAAGTCTCTGTGTACACTAGTGTTGGAGTGGAGTCAGTGGTGAGATAATAAGCCTTGTTGAGCCTGTAGCATATGGATTTTACTGGAATGTCACAATGTAAGGTAATGACCGCACATCATGGGGCCGCTGTCAGTCAGAGCATCAGTTTGCCTGTGGTGTCTACAATGAAGAATAAAACTCCTTCTCTCATATAGTTGAGATTGAATATGGCTTTATCACTAAAGCCCCCGTCACACTGTCCCGAAATTGACACCCGATGGACACACGAATATGGAATTGTGAATTTCGCACGAAGATGGCCCCGAACCACACACGAAGGCAACATTTACATTACATTTAAGACATACAACTGCAACGAAAGTAACGCAAACAATTATGTTAAAGTATTATGATACTGTACTGATATTTTCCGACTTTGTTCTTTACTTTCTCCGTCTTTATATGTAGAAGATATTAAGTTTTCTCCGTCAAGTTGTTTCCATAGCAACAACAACTTCCTCGCCTTCAAAATAATATATTATATCCTTTTTAGTTTCACAGAACACAAATCGGGTTATTTACATAATATGTTTACATGATTTTGTTGTGCAATAAAACAACCAGATGGACACACGATAAAGGAAATGTTCAAATTCGGCTCTGATCGTAGCAACATCGGGCCATTCGTGAGTTGCTGCCGGAGCCTGATAAATTCCACCGGCGGTCATACGATGGCTTAAGATGCCCTCACAAATGCCTTACGAAGGGCAAAATGGAGACACAAAGTCAACACGAAAATGAAACTTCACAAGGTCCTTCGGCAATGCTTTGCGATTTCGGGACAGGTGTGACAGGGCTTTAACTGGTGGGCTACCTGTGTGTTAATTTCCTTTACAAGTTTAAGACCGAGACTAGGCATCGTTGTAGCCCCGTAAGAACTCCCGTAGAATTCGGTAGCATACTGGCGGCCACCTCAAAGAGTCCGAGGCCGTCCGTTGAAGCCCTCGCCACCGTTGTAGA